TCCTTCCCTTACTTCTTCCTCCTTCCCTTCCCTCCTTCCCTTCCCTTTGTTTCTAAGGCACCCTGCACAGAACTAACTTACTGGAAGAGGCTTTTAAAATTTACACAAGGATTTGGACATAAGAGTTGGCAGGGATCTTAATTTTCCATGTTTCCATAAGAAGAAGAGAAAAAACACTTGGGAAATTCCTCCTATGTGCAAACAACTGTTATACAATCGCCATCTTGTAATAATTGCATAAAACATTAGCTAACAGGTTTACACAACCGCGGGCAGCCTCAAATTCCACTTTTTGGAGGTACAACAAGTATTACTTTGACTAAGGGTCAACCAGGGCCACGCAGGTTTAAAAAGAGCCAGGAAAAATGTAAATTTAATCAGCTTAACGTGGAAAGCAAATCAGACGAAAGGTTGACCTACCGCTGTTCATTTAGTGACGGTTCTAAGTTGCAACGTCGCTGCAAAAAGGGACTTACAAGTATTTTTTAAAACTTAAAACCCTTACAGCCTCCCCGTGGTCACGGGATCAAAATTCAGACCCTGGGGCAACTGACTCGTATTTACGACGGTTGCAGGGTCCCCCCCCCACTTTTGCGACCTTTTGACAAGCAAAACCAATGGGGCATCCAGATTTACTTAAGGACCGTGCTACTAAGTTAACAAACCGCAAGCGATCCACTTAACAACGGTGGCAAGAAAGGGTCTTAAAAACTCACTTAGCAAATGTCTCACTTAGCGTGTTTCCCCGAAAATAACACCAGATCTTATATTAACATTTGTTCCTAAAGATGCATTAGGGCTTATTTTCCGGTTAGGGGGAAATACGGTACTAAATGCATCTGTCTGGCTGACTATCTTAACTAGGGCTTATTTTTGGGGTAGGTCTTATATTACAAGCATCCTGAAAAAAATCGTGCTAGGGCTTATTTTCCAGTTGGCTCTTATTTTCAGAGAAACACGGTAGCAAGCATAAATTTTGGGCTCATAAGTGGAGAACTCTCCTTAAAGGAACATGACAGTCACTTAAAAGGTTATCTATTTATTCTGACCAAAAAATTCTCGCCCAGATTGTTGGTTTTTTTTTTCTTTTCATTTTTGCTGCAAAAAAAAAATTTTTTTTTTTTTTGGCAATGAACCAGGTAGATCTTAGCAAGCGGCTTCGCGATGCATTTTCAGGCAAGGTCTATCTTGAGTCAGATTGAAATTGCCAGAAAGAGAGAGAGAGAGAGAAAAAAAACTTCTAACACTTTAGCTAAATTAGCAAAAAACGTGTCTCAAACAGTTTTTCAAACAGCAGTTTTGTTCCTTTCACTGACTCAATTCCCCTTTCAAGGAAACCGTGAATATTCAACCTAGAAAAATACAGGCCAATGCACTCCACTTTTTGAGCCAAAATGTAATTCTACCACGTCGTAGGCGTCTTTATTGCTGGTTTTTTTTTTTTTAATTTTAATGCCAGCAGCAAAACATTACAGGAACTTGTAAAGTGAAACTTGAGACTTTCAAGAAGAGATTGGACTCCCATCTGTCAGAAATAGCGTAGGGTCTCCTGCTTGGACAGGGGGTTGGACTAGATGACCTACAAGGTCCCTTCCAACTCTGATTATCTGTTACATGTTATCTGAAACATCCCCTTTGCCTAAAAAAACAACAACAACACTGAAATCCAAACACAACTAGATGTATCCAAATTGGCGAAAGAAGAAACCTTCCAACTTTTTCCACTTTTTAAAAATGCAATTTTTCCCCACCGACGGGAAAAAGGGGATTTCAGAGCCAGCAAGGATGCTGCACCTTTCGGATACAGCTGGACTACAAGTCCCATCATTCCATAAAGGGAAAGCTGAGAAGGAGGCTGAATACCGCCTCGCTTCAACCCACCGAAATATGTCCGTAGTAAGATGGCACAGGTGGGAAAGAAAAGAAAATTTGTGATTGTGACACCACCGGTATTTTCATTTGTTCCTCCTTTCTCCACCTGACTTTTGCACTAAAGTGCAGACTCGCAGGACAAGAAGTGAGACATGCAAAAATAAAAAAATAAGCAATTATTTGGGGTTTCCATTTCCCACCTGCTCAGTACCTGTGGCTTTTTTTTTTTTAAATGTCTGTTTTTTTTTCTTTCGGCGAAGGCGTTTCCCCAAAAAAAAAAAAACCCAACCTGGACAAAAAGGGGGAGGTTTTTTATTATGATCATTCTCTTCCTTTCTCTTTTAAAACTTCTGCAAGGAAATTTTTTTTTTTTAATCACAATTTGGGATTTTAATTTCTGCTTTCTCTTCGCTTTAACTAAAGGGAAGTGGCGAGGAAGGGGGATATATTACAAGGCAGTTGGCCATTTTTTTGAAAAATTTAAAGATCGGTGCTTTAAAATCTATCAATCAATAAACTAAAATAATAGTTTCCCAGAGATCTAGAAATGTCAGCCCAGCCTACTCTGCAGGATTGTTGTGAAAAGGCTCCTCACTAAACCAGCTAGGATTAGCGGTACAACAGCAACGAGGAAGATTTCCGGATATGGGATTTATTTTTAACAATGGTTAGATAATAAAAAAAACAGAAGTTAGGGACAGAACCAAAAGGACAAAATGTGAAAACAGAGGTTGGTTAAAGTAGGCAAGTTAAATAGGGTTGGTATTCTAGTATGAATGTTATTGTGATGAGTATTGTTGTAAGTATTTTGATTAGGGTGCCCTAAAAAAGGGTGTGCCCAGACGACACGCTGTTTGAAATTGAAATGGAATTTTTACAGGTAATATAAATAAAACAAATAAAACGGGAGAGGGAAAAAAGAGGAGCACCTTTTGAAAAGCATCTGAAAAAGGGATTAAAAAAAAACAGAATGGAGGGGTGATATGTAGCCCCTCCCACTTTGCTTGACCCCACCCACTCCCAAATTTAACCCCCCCAACCATTGCTGTGCCCCCCCTCAGTTGTCATCCCCCCAATCTGAGACCCTGACCCTTAATTTTTATTTTATTTTTAAAAGTACACAAATCGTACATTTTCTCCCCTCCTCCTGCATTTGGGGGCTGCCCATTTGAACCCCTCCCTCTAAGAATAGGTTGAGGATTGGGGGGGGCATTTTTTTATTTGGGGGGGTGGGTGTCCATATTTTGCTTGCCTCCCCAAAGGTGATCTCTGCCAGCCAGGGGGGAGGAGGGGGAGGTGGGTGGAACACAGACCCTCCTGTCTTGGAAGCAGATAGCAGATAATCAGAGTGGGAAGGGACCTTGGAGGTCATCTAGTCCAACCCCCTGCCCAAGCAGGAGACCCTACACCATTTCTGACAAATGGCAGTCCAGTCTCTTCTTGAAAGTCTCGAGCCACCTAAAATCTTTTTATGTTTATTTTCTAAATCCACCCGGTGCAAAATTTGACATTTTCATACTTTTTGTTCCCCCAGATAGATAGATAGATAGATAGATAGACACAGACAGACAGACAGACAGACAGATAGATTCCCTTCCATCATGGACTTACCAGGGACATTTTCCAACAGATTACAGCGATCCCAGAGAGAGAGACAAAGCCATAAGGATCGAGTCTTTCTGAAGTTTGCTTTGGATCCGGACCAAGTAAACTTGCAACATTTTCGATTGACTGCACGGCATCCCAAACAGTTTGATTTTTTTTTTAAAAAAGAAATTCCTCTGGATTTGTTCCTTCGGGTGGGTTTCCTGGGGGGAAAAGGTTCTTTTTTTTTTTTCCTCCCCCCAGCCAGAGAGATTCGAGAGCTTTTGGGTGTGAAAGTTGAAGTGAAAATGAAAATAATTCTCCCTGGGACTCCACACCCCGCAGGCAAACTCATTTCCTGATGTGGATTGGCTCCTTCCTTTGTGTGTGTGTGTGTGTGTGTGTGTGTGTGTGTGTGTATAGAAAGCGATTTATTGTTGAGCAAGCGTCCTTGAAACTGGTTCCAACCGGCTCAGGATATTTAATCTGGCTCTTTTTTTTCATCCTTGTGTTTTGTTACAGTTAGTCCTCGACCTACGGCCACGATGGAGCCCAGAATTGACGCCGCTAAGCGAGACGTTCTTCTGGCCACCCCTCTGCAAATTGAATCACTTCTGTTTTTAAATCAGTGGTACGAATCCAGACTTCCCCCCCCCCCCCGTGGACTTTCCTGGTCAGGAGGTTGCAAAAAAAAGGGGCATCGCGTCACTAAATGAATCGTTGTAAGTCGAGAAACTACCTGTATTGTTTTGGGGGTTTTTTTGGGGTGGTGGTGGGGGACTTTCTTATTTAGGGTGCAACGTGAGATGAGAATACAGTTTTGGTATTCAGATATACTGCACTGAACAGCGGGTTGGGCTAAATGACCTCTAGGGTCCCTTCTGAGTCAATGCTGCAAACAGCCAACTTTGGACTCGCCGACCTTGCTTCATCCTCAAATCTTTGCCGAATGGAGCAGACAGGAGTTGGAAATTGAAGGCCACCCTTGCTGGCTGGGGAATTCTGGGAGTTGAATTCTGATGATGGCAGATGAGATTCTGCCGAAACGTTGCTACAACTTTAAAAGCACAACTACAATGACGTGGGAAAATACCCGAACAAAGCTGAATATGTATGTATGTATGTATGTATGTATGTATGTATGTATGTATGTATGTATGTATATTTATTTTCTGGCTTTTCACTGGAAGCAAATCCAGACACGCATTCAACACTGAAATATGTGCCAGAAGGAAATTATATGCAGCGTGGTCAAACTTTGCATTCTTTCCTAGTGTTATTCATTCCTTGGTGGAAAAGGATGATAAATGGGTGTAATTTTCCATCCGTTTCTTCATCAGCATCCTTTTTTTTTTTAATTTTAATGCTTAATTTTAGCACCCCGTCTGGATTTTTTATTATACTTTTCAATCAACTTCTCCAACAGACTCATCTCTACAGGAAAAACATGTTCAGCGTCTTTCCCCTTTTCCTGTCCCCCTTCCTCAACTTTTTTTCCCCATCATCATTGGAAAAAATAGGAAAACCATTAGTATTTTCAAGGGAGCCTTTCCCAAGGCCAGAATAGAAACAAAATTCAATTTTTTTTAATTTATATACTCCTTCGGCTGGTATCGCCGTCCCTCTACACATTGGTGCCTTGCTTAAAAACTGAAATTAAAATTCAACTCTTTTATCTTAACGGAGATGGTTAAATGCATTTTCTGCCTACGTTGGCCTTTGCCTCAAAATCTTGGCTGAGATAACATTTCCTTTCCCAGCACTTCAGATTGGCGGGTAGAAAAAAAAAAACCAACGTTGCTGACACAGCAGGGAGAATTTTTTTGAATGCAAAAAAAAATATATGGAGATTTCAGCTTCTTTCATAGAAAACAGGCAATTTTGGTTTCCCCCTGCAGTTACTTCTGTTTTTAAAACTGTTTAGTTTAGTTTCATTTACTTCATTGTCATTTCACCTCGTACAATGAAATCAAACACCATCTTCAGTGTACATTATGACTATGAAAATAAACACAAACACACATCCTTCACGTTCCATGCATTGAATTGAAAATCCCTGATATGAACATTAAATTAAATTAAAATTAAAATCAGTAGAGCTTTTTCTCTGATGTTTGAATAACTCACAAAGCTTCCAGCAAACTGGGGGGGGGGGAGTTTTAAAATTCAAAGTATTCAGGGTATGTTCTCCCAGCGTGGCCTACCTCGCAGGGTTATTGTAAAAAGAGGGAGAAGGACACTGTCTGTGCGTTTTTTGAGGGAGGGCTGAAATTAAATAAATGTAAGAGAAATGAAATTTTGCTTTGCAGGTCTTTCATTCCACCTCTGGTCACTAGAGGGCAGGAGTGAGATGCTGCGATTTCAGCCTTTTGCAAACACCAGTATAAATACTTAATTTATAAATAAATATAATTTGTTTCAATACAGTCTATAAATGTCCAGGTGTTCAATGAATGACTGGCTCAGGAGAGGTTTTTCACCCCGTTCCCCATTGATGTGGTCTGGGGTCTCCTGCTTGTGCGGGGGTTGGACTAGAAGACCTCTAAGGGTCCCTTCCAACTCTGTTATTCTGTTACGGCTGGTCACACAGTCAGATGTTCACACTGGATTTGGCCTTTTTGTCTACCTAATGAGTCTTTCCTGAGGATCTGGGGTAGGCTTGATGGTCTTTTAAGGTCTCGTTGCAGAATGGAAGCTATTCTGAGTCAAATCTGCCTTTTGCAACTGACCGGTGGGGATTTTGTCAATGCCGGGGTTGCTTCAGATGGTTTGAGATTATTATTGTTGTTGTTGTTGATATAACCACCCATGGAGTATTTATATATGCATATATATACAATAGTGAATGTATTATTACATTAATGGTGGCATTCTGGCACAGCAGTAGGCTAGCCCCAAATTTAAAACTGAAACAACTGTAAAAGTCTGACTCACAGACAAAGATAGATAGATAGATAGATAGATAGATAGATAGATAGAGAGAGAGAGAGAGAGATGAGAGAGATAGATATATAGATATATATATGATAGAGAGAGATATGATAGATGATAAAGAGAGATGAGAGAGAGAGATGATAGATAGATAGAGATGATAGAGAAAGAGAGAGAGAGATGATAGAGAGATAATGAGAGAGAGAGATGATAGATAGATAGATGATAGAGAAAGAGAGAGATGATAGAGAGAGAGATATGATAGACAGATAGAGAGAGATGATGTACAGTATATAGAGAGAGATGAGATGAGAGAGAGAGAGAGAGAGAGAGAGAGAGAGAGAGAATATTTATTTATAACTTCTTCCCTCCACCTATACACAGCACCCCAAAAACGAAGCCCCAGAAACAAGAGACACGCAGGGTAGTTTTCACATCTGTATTTATTTTCTCGAACCAACCACATACACAGTATGCCAATTGCACAACCAAGACCCCCAAATGAGACACAACAAACCCTCGCCTCAAACGTCCAACCCCCCCCCCCCCCCCCCCCCCCCAAAAAAAAAACAACGCAGGATCATCCTTACTTTCCAAATGTATGACATCCACGCATCCGGCAACCCTCTCTCTTTAATATAAAGCAAGATTTAGGGGTTGCCTTACAGAAAGGTGAAAATTCACCCCACCCCACCCCTTTCGTCGCCCATTTCCTAGCGGGTGGCCAAGCTACCTTTCCCACCAGCTAAAACCTGGTTAAAGCCAAAGCAGGAGGGAAACCAGGTTCCTGACACGCCTCATCCTAGGAGGGGGGCGCACCGTTTCCACCTGGGTTTTTTCCCCACTGGTCCCACTTCCCAACCTCACCTTCTCTGCTTCCCCTCTTGAGAATAAATAACGGGGTGTTTTTCCTCCCCTCCAGAGGGGAGAGAGGAACGCCCTTTTCCAAACTTTCCAAAACCAGAAAGAAAGAAGCAGAGGAGGCCAGAGAATAAATCCAAAGGAGAGAGAGAGAGAGAGAGAGAGAGAAGGAGAGAAAGTCCTTCCACATCTTCATCATCGACTTGACTCCATCCATGGTCGCCAAAGAGAACAGATGTTCTTCTTGGGGTTGGGTGGCTTCTTCCAACGCGCAGCCGGCTGCGAGGCGAAGGCAGACTCCAGAGTGGGCAGGGGGACGTGTTGAAAGTGGCACATCAGCTTCTTCTGGGTCTGGGGCTGCACTTTGTGAAGGAGCAGGAAGCGGGAGACTTCTTGAAGGCATCTGGCGTAGCCTTCTTGGAAATCCACTTCCCTCTCCTTGGGAGCAGGCCCTGCTGGGGAAAGAGGCAGCGGGGTTCTGTCAAGCTTCTAGTCCCTTTTGAGTCCCCCCTTGGGGGCAAAGTTTGATGCAGTTGGTCTCCAGGGGAAGGGAAGGGGAGAAGGGTCCCCGTTTTTCAGGCATTGGCTCAACACTGGGTAAACGGTCCCACAAATGGGACAAAATTCTTTGTTTTCTTTTGGGGACCCATGAGGGGTGTTGAAAATGAGTTAATTTAAGCTTTCGGATCAGCGGTTTGGAGTTAAGGAAAGAAAAAGTTTGGGGAACTCTGTGTTAGAGGGTGTTTTGAACCCCATCAAGGTTAGTTAGTGGTTAGTAGAAGTTGCTCTTTCCATCCCATTTCTATTTTGCTTCCTTCTTTTGCTCCTTTTAATGCTCTCTCTCTCTCTCTCCCTCCTCTCCTCTCCTCTTCTTTCTCTCTCTCTCTCTCCTCTCCTCTCTCTCTCTTTTCTCTCTCTCTCTCTCCTCTTCTCTCTCTCTCCTCTTATCTCTCTCTCTCCTCTCCCCTCCTCTCCTCTTCTTTCTCTCTTTCTCTCTCCTCTCCTCTTCTCTCTCTCTTCTCTCTCTTCTCTTCTCTCTCTCCTCTTTTCTCTCTCCTCTTCTCTCTCTCTCTTCTCTCTCTCTCCTCTCCTCTTCTCTCTCTCTCTTTTTCTCTCCTCTCCTCTCCTCTCTCTCTCATTTTAAAACCTATCATTTTAAAACTTTCACGTTACATACTGCTGTTTATACCTTGTTGTATAAGCCGCCTACATGCCCCTGATGGGCACCTAATACATTTCATAAACTGATAAGTAAAAATAAACAAAGCCATCCAGCCCTTTGGCCCAAAGCAAATTATCCCAAGGAAGGCACTTGAGGGCTCAGCACAGCCGTGATCCAAATGGGGGGGCGGGAAGAGTAACAGAGTCGAAAGGGATCTTGGAGGTCTTCTAGTCCAACCCCCCCCCCCCACCGCTTGAGCAGGAAACCCTATTACCACTTCACACAAAAAACTGGTTGTCCAATCTCTTCTTAAAACCCTCCAGTGTGGGGGACAGCCACACATTTCTGGAAGCAAGCCATGACACTGATTAATTCTTCTAATCAACAGAAAGAAAAAAAATTGTGAGTTTTGGGAAGGGGATATCTCAGCTTTGGGCATAGCTGGCTCCCTGAAACAGACTGGGCAAGAATCAGTTTCAGCAAAAAGTCTCTTAAACTCTTGAAGAAGAAGAACGGAGGGAAACTAATCCCAGGAGAGAAGCAACTTGGAACTAACAGGGAATTTCCCGACAGTTAGAACAATTAACCAGGGGAACTCCTTGCCACCAGAAGCTGTGGGTGCTCCCAATGCTGGAGGCTTTTAAGAAGAGACTGGACAGCCACTTGTCTGAGACGGTACACGATCTCCTGCTTGAGCAAGGGGGTCAGACTAGAAGACCCTCCGAGGTCCCTCCCAGCCCTATTCTGACAGATTTGGTGGATTTGACTCACCTGCGCCCTGCACCCTGTTCTGATGCTTCAGGTATCTGACGGCCATTTCCAGGATGTTGGCTTTCTCCAGCTTGGAACCGGCCTGCTGGCCTTGCAGCTCTTTCTCCAGGAGCTGTTTGAGCTGCTCGATGCTGCTATTCATCCTGTCCCGGCGCATTTTTTCGATCATGGGTTTTCTCAGCTGCCAGAGAAGGAGGGAGAGAGAGGGAGATAGAGAGAGAGAGAGAGAAAGAAAGGAGGCGCGTAAGGAAAAGCAGAATTAAACCCCGCTCAAAAAAAAACCATCCTCCTTTTTCTATCAAAAAACAACAACAACAAAACGTTTTTGGGATGCCTCACTTACTTTGTTTTTCTCCTTAGGGGTGAGCAGCCTTTTTTGGTCCACGAACATGAGGTTGGCAGGCGTCATTCTGGAAATTGGACCCGGGGAGGGTGGGGGGAACCTAATAATAACCCTCCTGTTTGCAAACCCACAGCTTCCCCATCACCATATTTATACCCTGAATCCAGGGGGGGTGTGAGTCCCTTCGTTCTCGGAGTTTCCCACACTCCTCAGCCAATCAGGATCGAGCGGTAGGGGGGGGAAAAAGAAGAAGAAAAGAACAGGGTAAATTAAAAAAAAAAAGAGGGGGGAGAGAAAAAAAAAAACAACAACTCCAGGCTTGTTTTCCATGCTCCTGTCAGTGGTCAATAAAACATAATGACTCTCTCTCTCTCTTTTTTAAAAAAAAGAGAGAGAGAGAGAGAGCAGGTGGAGAATCTTGAGATACGCCAAAAAATTAGGGATTAGGTCTTCCAAGCACACAGTTGGGAGCTGGGAATGGTCCCCGAGAGGGATGGCCACCCTTCCTAAGGCGCACTTCGCAGCCATTTAAAAATAAATAAATAGTTGAGATGACATGAAAGGTGTGTGTGTTTTTTTAAATAAAATAAAATAAAGCCCCCCCCCCTAATAAATGTCCGTATTTTGGAAAAAAAGGCCTGCTGTGTTAGCTTTTGCAAACATGTTTTCTCTTTTTCTTTCTTTCTTTCTTTCTTTCTTTCTTTCTTTCTTTCTTTCTTTCTTTCTTTTTGTTGTGCTTTTCTTTCTGCAGGGAAGCACAAGTCCCCGCAGGGAGAAAGCTAGCCGTTCTCGGGGAGAAGGTGTGATTTAAAAAAAAAATCTTGCATACATTCTTCTACAGAAGAGGCCGTTCAGCCAGGTGAAATTGTCTCAATCCCTGTGCCTGAGTTGGCAGGAAAGGGAATATTATTATTATTATTAATAATAATAATAACAAAAATAACAACATAATTAATAATAATAATTTGCCTGTGCCAGGTCCTTGGGAAGGACTCGATAGGTAGACAAAAAGGCCAAACCCAGTCTGAACATGTGGCTGACTGTGTGATTAATAATATTAATATTAATAATAACAATAACAACAATAATTATTCGATACCTAGTATGCTGGCAGCTACCCATATCCACCATCAGTGCCAGTCAATGATACCTGTGATACATTTTAAGAATAGAATAGAAAGTAGAATAGAATAGAATAGAATAGAATAGAATAGAATAGAACAGAACAAATGAAGAATAAATATAACAAATGAAGAATAGAATATAATATAATAGAATATATGGAAATAGAACAGAATAGGATTGAATAGTTAAGAATAGAATAGAATGGAATGGAATGGAATAGAATAAGAATAGGATAGGATAAGATAGAACAGGATAGAATAGAATTAGAATAGAATTAGAATAGAATAGAATAGAATAGAATAGAATAGAATAGAATAGAATA